ACTAGAAAAGAACTAAAGTAGCTATACTAACATAAGAAAAAAGACTTTAAGACAAAAACAGTATTAGAATGGTGCCGAAAACACCAAGGTCAAGTGTTCAGCTTCCCTTACTAGCCAGCTGTTCCCCCCCTCAAATATATATATATTACTAGAGACAGAGGGACAATTTTATACTGATAACAGGGATATTTCATCAGGAAGATGTGTCAATTATAGATATATATGCCTAACAACAAAGCCTCAAAATATATGAATCAAAAATTCATATATGACAAGACAAAACTGAAGAGAGAAATACACAATTCAGCAATAATAGCTGGAGATTTCAATACCCCACCCTCAATAAAGGATAGAACAACTATACAGAAAATCAGCAAGGATATACAAAACTTGAACAATATCAACCTAGTAGTCTACCTGAAATCTATAGAACACTCCACCCAACAACAATAGAATATATACACGCTTCTCAAGCACACAGGTAACATTCTCTAGGACAGCCCATATGCTAAGCCATAAAACAAGCTCCAATAAATTTAAAGTAATTGAAATAATACAAAGCATGATTTCTTAGACCACAATAAAATTAAATAAGAAATCAACATCAAAAGGAAACTTGGACAATTCACAAATATGTGAAAATTGACAACACAATTAATGGGTCAAAGAAAAAATCATAAGAGAAATTAGGATGACTGGGCACAAAGCCAGCTCTAGCCCAAGACACTCAATCAGGCCCCAATGACCTGTGACTAGGAGCAAGAAAATCCTGACACTTCCCATTAATTTTAATCAAAATAGTAAATTAAGTACATCAGGCCCACATCTGCTAGAAGCAGATGCTCATTAGGATGAAAGTCAAAAAGATTATGTCTGACACTTCCCATTAATTTTAATCAAAATAGTAAATTAAGTACATCAGGCCCACATCTGCTGGAAGCAGATGCTCATTAGGATGAAAGTCAAAAAGATTATGTAGGACAGATAACTAATACCCTACATTACCCAGGTCCATATCTCTCAGAAGTTTTCTGTTCTTCCAGTAATTACCAGGAAGCTGTCAAATGCCAGGGCTTCTTATTTCACTTTTATGAGGCTCCAAACATGCAGAAAAATATTACAAGCTTAAGATGTTTTGGCAGATACTCCCTACTTGAACTCAAGCAAAACATGGCACAGAAGACAGAATAGAGGTCTTATGAGTCAGGCAAACCTGGTTTAAAGAGTTCCAGGTTTGCCTCTCACAGTGTTATATTGAGCAAGTGATAGAACTACTCTGAGTCTCAGTTTTCTTCCCTGCAGAATGGAAATGCCACCACCTACCTCAAAGGGCTGTCACAATGATTAAAGAAGATAATGTAAGGATAAGCACTTAGGACAGTACCTGGCCCATAAGTAGCAGTCATTAGCTTCATTTTCTTCATTTCAGTTTCTGTTACTACAGAGCTAGAGTCATCTGCTAAAAAGTTAACAGGGGAAGCTCCCCAAACTTTTGCAAGTTTCCCCAAAAATATACCAGGTAGAGTTGCAGTAGTTTAAATGTCTTTAAGTATGGATCCAGAATTTGCACTGCTGAAGATGAAGCATGGCCTGGGTTGATGGGTGATTGGAGGCCACCAGGAACCTACAAAACTGTGGGGAATGCACCAAGCAGACTATCAAAACCCTTCTCTATAGTACCTTCTGTTTTCCATTATCACTCTGAGTCTCTTGCAGGAGGAAGTAAATAAAACGGATCTCAATTTTCCACAAATCCATTTTTGTTGATGATTCTAAATGGCTTTGGGTAGGGTCCACTGGAGACTCATTTGCCACCACAGTACTGGTTACACCTCCTGAAATTACATACAGGTGGTATGTCTGCTCTGTCCCTCCAGTTCTGCCAAATTTCTATATTTCATCCCTGCAAAAAGCCACTCACCATTCAAAAGTTCCACTTATGTTTAGAGCCAAGAAATAAACAGCAAGACTGAGATATGGCCAATCACCTAAGACTTTGAGCTACATCAGGGCAGGAATCATGTCTGACCTACTCACTCTGGTAGCCTAGAACAGTGCCTGGCACATCACAGCTGCAGAACAAATACCTGCTGAATCATCACAACTTCTTGGATCATCACAACTTCATTCCAATCATACAAGAGAAAGTGTCTTTCCAGGAAAACTGAGAGATTACTGCTAAGAGGCCAATTTCTCTTTCACTCTGAAAACCATTATTATAGCAGCTCAATTACATGATCACAAATAAGTTTAATAAACAGCAAAACATCTATATCCAGGAGAGCAAGAAGGCACAGGGAAAGGGCCGTTATATAAGATTCAGCAAGTAGCTGTGGGTCATAAAAAGGTAGGTCTAGGAACCACTTAAAATAGAGGAATTAAATAAGAAAAATGCCGAAGGTCGGCAAAGTTCCCTGGGAGTTCTTTCCCTCTTCTGGATTAACATCCCAGAAAAAGAATGATATTTTGATGCTTTGTCCTTTGAAACAACTGTGGGGAGGCAGACTAGAAAGGTGGTTTAGAGTGTAAGCTCTGCAGTCTGCTACCCAGGCTCAGTTCCGGCTCCTCTCCATCCTATCTGCATCACTCTGGGCAATTTAGCCCTTTGGGCTTCTGTTTCCTCCACTGATAATTAGGTAATAGCATCTATCTCATAGGATTACTGTGAAACAGAAATGAAGTATGTGTAAAGCACTTAAAACACTCCCTAGTATATAGCAAATGCTCATTAAATATTAGGCTTTTTTGGTTGCTGTTTTCTATTATTATTATTATTATTATTATTATTATTATTATTATTATTATTATTATTATTATTATTATTATTATTATTATTATTATTATTATTATTATTATTATTATTATTATTATTATTATTATTATTATTATTATTATTATTATTATTATTATTATTATTATTATTATTATTATTATTATTATTATTATTATTATTATTATTATTATTATTATTATTATTATTATTATTATTATTATTATTATTATTATTATTATTATTATTATTATTATTATTATTATTATTATTATTATTATTATTATTATTATTATTATTATTATTATTATTATTATTATTATTATTATTATTATTATTATTATTATTATTATTATTATTATTATTATTATTATTATTATTATTATTATTATTATTATTATTATTATTATTATTATTATTATTATTATTATTATTATTATTGGAAATTTCTCAAGAAAATAAAACAAATGATACAACTGCCAACAGAATCTGGAGGGACATCTAAATACCTACAAATGACAAAGGCTTTTAACAAAAGACCAATAGGTATCTTGTCACATGTATCTTGAGAAAATAGGAGAAAGTAGTTTAATTGTGAATGGAAATAACCTGCTAATCTAACTCAAAAGTGAGGTTCCAGAAGGTCTATATTTCCTTCTCCTAGTGGCATTTTGCATCCTTTGTTAAAGAACTCTTCTCGGCAGATTTCACATCTGTAAACAACTGTCAGCTGGAACACAGCTCCTATATTCAAAGGTATCCATAGTGAAATTAGGCCATTTAGGGTCATACCACTGGGCATAAGGAATAGGTAATGGGGGTAAAGAATTATGGAAGCAAGGAGGGAAAAAACAACATGCAGCTGTTCCAAGAAAGCTAAACACCAAGAAAGCAGATTTGCTGGCAGTAGAGGAGCAGGAGGTGCTGTGTGGGGTGGTGAAGGCAGACATCTGGAACAAAGAAGGGTGGAGAAGAGCTCTGTAGTATTATCTGGCAGCAAGTGATTATCCACCAGTGAGGAGCTTCCACATGCCTTCAGCCAAGCCACAGAAGTGCCAGACAAGGAGAGGCCCAAGGCCATAGGGTCTGTTTAATAACTAGGGCCAGAGCCCTTCTCAAAGGAGGCTGTCAGGGGACCATGGTGTAGTCTGCTCCCTGCCAGGTCAGGGTCTACAAAGTCCTAGTGTCCGGCAGAGAAACCACTGAGGTTTCTAGATTTCTAGACCTTGGTGTTAGGTCAAGGATACTGATTAGGGGAAGCCAGATCCTATGGCCTGCCAGCTGTCCCAGAAGCTTGTTTAGAAATCATTAAAATAAAGCTTGCAACATTCTCCCAGCCTGACCATGCCTCTGCCTCAACAGATCCCCCTCACCTTTAACCACCACATTGCCAAGATTTTCCAAAACAGAATGTCACTTAAAATTTTTTAATAAAGATGCTTATTAATTAAAGATACATCTAAATGTTGCTTGATTTTTATATCTTTTATGCCTTTGCATACATAAATTTACAAGTTGGCAGTGAAAGGTGGGGGGGAGTGTGATGGCAAAAACAACCTTTGCCACAAAAAAAAAAAAATTCTGCTTTATTTCCTTTTCTAGCGACTGCCCAGAAGCAGCAGCACACACCATGTCTCAGAGCTTGGTCACATCATGCCTCAGAGCCCCAAAACACTGGTCACTAAGCTATCCAGCCATTGTAAACCTGCCTCAGTGGGGCTTGCCCAGCCCATTTTCTGTTCCGTGGAGATTTGTGAGCCAGCTCCATGGGTCCCTCCCCCTCCTCCTTCCTCCAAAGATTCCACTGTGCCTGGAAATTCCAAGTGCTGGCAATAGCAAAGAGTTGGAGAGGTGCGCATTAAGCTCCTAATTAAATCACAGGATCTGGCTCATAAGTATCTCACCAACCAAAACATTAACAAGATAAGACACCTTTATCATTCAATTAAAAGCATAGCCAGAATTTAATGGCTGGATTAAGAAATAAATTGTTTAAAAAATAATTTAAAAAATAAATAAAGATCTGAAGGAAGTAGGAGTGGGCAAGAAAAACAGTTTTCCTCAACCCTGCCATTTCCTGTCTAGAAGTAAGGAATTGAGTGCTGGACCCAAAACGGAGTTTTCAGCCAGATGCCAAGACACCATCACATCCACTTGGTAAACAAGGGAGAAGCTTTGTCTGGCTCTCTGCACCTTTACATTTTCAAAATCCAAAGAAACATTTCCTTACCTGCCAAGACCCTGTTAACAGAAGAGTGAGTAGCCAAACCAGGCTGTCCACGTTCATGAAAAATCCCAGCATAAGGCAAGTACTCAGGCAGCAAAAAACGCCTACAAGAAGGAATCACGTGTGAAAAGCCAACTAAACACTACCATAAAACAAAGGACATACTACTTACCCTCAAAAATCTAGACTAAGGGACCCAATGAACGTAAGGAATCCATAGAAGCCCAGAAAGAAGTAAAAACTCTCAGGATTTGTCCTTTGACAGATATGTATTTCCTTCCTACCCTTCCTTCTAAAGTCAAGTTCCCCAAGGTGTCTATTCTTGAACAGGATGCTCCCAATGCCACCTTTTTATCTCTTTTCATTCTGACTAATCACTTCCTGTTAAGTCTTTAGGTGGCAGGACTAGACTGTAAACTCACTAGGAAATAATTCCAGATATGGACAATCCAAAGACCAGAAAGTAGGTTAAAAACTAAGTCCTAGGCTCTCATAAAGGCTCCCCCGATTGCTGACAACCCAGTTCTTACCTCGGGACAAAGCGTCCAAGTGAAGGTGCAGACATCCGGGCATTGCGTGGAGCTCGGTGCCTGGATCTGTCACCATTGTCCCTGGAGAAAACAAAAAGACTATACATAAGCGAGACACTAAGGCAGAATCACCCTCCAGCCCAAAAGACAAGCACGCCCCAAACTAAATTCTACAGTAAGGAGAGGACCTCACAGAAATGAATCATCTGGTTGCTCATTAATTTGGGTGGTACATTAATAAAACGCATTTCTGAAGTACCTCAACTAAAATATTTACAAGCATTCACCAGCAATTCCGGGAGGAGGAGAATGATTTTTTTTTTTTTTTCTTGAATAACGTGGTCTCTGAACCCTGTAGCATCTGAAATTAAAGCCAAGTTTAGATCCTGAGATCTGAAATGGATGTATATAAACTTCTTTTTCTAAACTAAAGAAAATTTGGCTTTTGGGGATCTTGAAGGAAGAAAAATCTCCCCATCAATTTCTTTTGACAAAAGGTTATCTTCAAATGAATCTGTTTAGATCCTCTGTATGGAAAAAAATCAGTGATATGTGAAATTAAAATAAAAAAAAAAACAAGAAAAAGACAAGTCAATTCCTACTTTTAGAGACTTAAAAATTGACAATGATGAAGAATATTAGAAAATGCAATCCTAAGCCAGGTCATTTGAGTAAAAAGAAAAAAGTATAGGTGTTTTCTTTATGGACTATTAAAGCAATAGTAATAACTTCCATTTATTACATGTCTACTAAATTTCAACACAAAGGTTATTAACATGTTATCCCATTTAATCCTTCTAGCTATCCCACGAGGTATTATTAGTTCTGTTTTACAGATAAGAAAAATAAAGATCAGAGAGGCAAACATTCAAGGTCACACAGCTAGTAAATGGCTGAGGTAGGATTCAAGGAAGATCTGACTTTGAAGCCCCAGGTCTTTCCACTACATTTCACTGCTTCCTACAAGCCACTTCACGTGGCTTAGTTTCCAATGCACCAAAGGAACAATAAACCAAAGGGCACTGGCTGGACAGAGCAGTTAATTAGCTGCTTAACCAACTCCACAAAATAAATGAACTTCTAAGAGCTTGATTTGGGACATTTTCTGAATTCTCCCTTTGGATTATCTTCAAATCAATGAGATAATCTTCAAACTGGCCCCAGAACCAAAGATAAGGCAACACTTTAGCTTTTAAGTGGACCACTGGGAGCTTCACAAGCGAGCAACAAAAGCCTATGAAGGTTTTACATTTCAGTAGAATTGGTTGCTGAGCATTGAGACAAATCAATACCAGGGATATTGGATGCTGATACATTAAAAGTCAGAACTTGGGTTTTTATTTTCCCAAAAGAGAAGGCACACCATTGTTTTCCTTAACATATCATATTCCTTTGACTTCAAACTCTGTAGATGGAAGTAGGGGGCAAGGAGAGAAACTATATGGAAAGCAAAAATGGGATTAAAAAGAACAGTAAGATCAGAAGTTCCTGACCAGTAGACAGCAGTTACCAAAAAGCCCCCAAAGTATTATACATATACACAAAGGAGTAGCTAAATATCAAACAAATAAGATAGCTCCCAAATTAAGAATACTATTATTTTTCAAATATATGTAGATTCCAGTTGTGATCAAAGTACCAATTCATTTAAAAGTACAACTGAATTTATGACAGCTTTTCACTATTGCATATTTTAATTATCAATGGGCATTAAAAGTACAATTAATTACCATGAGAGGAGTTGGAAAATATTTTGAAGTTAAAAAGAGTCCTAAAGGGGCCGGCCCGGTGGCGCACTGCTACAGTGCGCCGCTTGGGAGCGCAGTGGCGCCTCCCGCCGAGGGTTCGGATCCCACATACAGACCGGTTCCTGCTCACTGGCTGAGCGAGGTGCAGGCGCAACGCCAAGGGTTGTGATCCGTTGCCGGACATGAAAAAAGACAAAAAGGAAAAAAAAAAAAAAGAGTCCTAAAGGAAAATAAAAAGGGGGGCCCTTAAGCCTCAAAAAGACTGAAAACTAAGCTAGAAAGAAGCATCATGGGGCAAACCCAATTACTTTATTTTATAGCTATGAGAGAGAGCTGGACTTCTCAGAATCATATTGTGGAGCTAACAATTTGCTTTTGCAAGGTCCAAAGATCCACTTCCTTCTGGACAACAAACAATGCTCTATTTGGTGTTAACAGAGATGAAGAGCAGGGAAGGAGAAGCCAGTGCAACAGATAGTAATGATCAGTTGCTAATGCCCAAAAACAACACAGAATTTGGTGAAAGGACAAAAGAAGACAACACAGAAAAATAAACACCAGGGCTGCGGAAAAATGTGGACATGTACAACATATACTACTAGCATCTTTTTGTTATTATTGAAACCTAAAAACAATCAACTTCTTTTTGATTCAGTTTCTCCCTCCATTTTAAGAAAATGGAAGGGAGTTAAGATGGTAAATTTTACGCTATGTATATAACACAATAAAAAAAAAAAAAAAACGGAAGAAAGAGGAGGGAGGAGAGACTGAAATATGGCCAAAGATAATGGCTTTACAGTGTTTAGAGATTACTGGAGGGTATATAAAGGAAAATAAGAATGAGAGCAACTAACTCAGATACAAGTAAAGTCTCAGACTGAAGCCTACATTAGGCATTATAAAAGAAGCAGGATAGGGCTGGCCCGTGGCTCACTTGGGAGAGTATGGTGCTGATAACACCAAGGCCACGGGTTCAGATCCCATATAGGGATGGCCCGTTTGCTCACTGGCTGAGCATGGTGCTGACAACACCAAGTCAAGGGTTAAGGTCCCCTTACCAGTCATCTTTTAAAAAAAATTTTTAAAAAAAAAGAGGCAGTATATTAAGTAAGTGGAGATGTACATGCTAGTCCTTGGCTTATTTAACATCTTGGTTAAGAATGGGGAAGAAGGAGCTAAATGGCATCATAATAAAATGTGGAGAAAACTTCAAACTGGAAGTGCTGAGAACTCTAGCAAAGAAATAGAAATGACAGGAAAGGACTCAGATGATTAGAAAAATGTGAAATGAGATGGTGCCTACAGGAGAAAAACAACAAAGATCTTTAGGAGGAAATAACCTATAACAAAAACAGCTCAAATATTTACTGACCAGGAAAAGCCTTGAAAAAAAGAATGGGTAACATGGCAAAAGTCAGAATGCCCAGTCAAAAGACAAGCTAGACAAGAAGAGGAAAAAGGCCCTCAGTTTTAGTACTGGCACACAAAAATTCCAGACCAAGGCCCAGCTCCGAATAAACTAAAGGTGGAAAAATGACTCTTTAGATTCTACAGTCTAGAAAGAAGGGAAGATTCAGAGACAAGGAGTTGAGATGGGGAATAAACCTCAATGTGTAGGACACTTGGGGGGAGAAATGAAATCAGGGGAGAGGGATAATGGTAAGAGTTCCAAGAAGAGAGCACAGGAAGTAAAAGTACTTAAAATAATGGTGTATTTAGAAAACTACAGAGAATCTGGCATTCACTTCAGTACAGACACAAGGCCAACATAAAGCAAGGCTCCACAAGATGGAAGGAAGCAAAATTAGTCAGGTAGAGACGGAAGATGAGTGGACTGGAAGATGTCTGCCAGATGAACAGTGGGAGAAGGGCAGACCCAGAGAGAGTTTACCTGAGGAATAGTGGAGTTACTAAATACTAGGGTCTAACGTAACACAGCAACATCCTTTCCAAAGTGGGGACTTAAAAAAAAAGAAAAAATTGATGAACAGAGTAGACAAATATGCTGGTATTGCTCCTCCAACACAAGGAATATTTTTCAGGGAAACACCACAAAAATCCTCATTAATTTCAACAGCCAGAGACTGCCTTAAAGCCAGCAGGATAGAAGCTGGCTGGGTTATTAATGGCTTTCCCAGTTGTTGAACTCTATGCATCTCTGATTAACTCTCAGAGGGGCATTTGGGAAGGAGAAGGAAAAAGATAATATTTTCTTGTAAAAGACTTTACAAGAAAAAAACACCCTTCAAACAATCAAGCATCCAGGACAAGTGCTGAATATAAGAAGATGCATCTCCAAAACAGGGAGGAACACAGCAGCAACTCTTTTCCTAAATATCCAGTATTAATTGCTTCAGGGAGAGGCTATAATTTAAAGGAATGATAAATATACCTACAGACTGCTGTCTGAGTCCTGATCAGATAGTCAAGTTGTCATTGCTCCTCAGTGACAAACGGCTCTGACTTGGGCCTTTATAAATGAAGCTCTTGCAGCAAAAAGCTAAAGAGGCCACTGTCCTCTTGACAGAACACAGGTGACTCTGCTGAAGATCAGAGTATTTTAAAACACTTATTTCCCTATGCTCCTCTTTTCTACTCAATCTCCAGACAACAGAAGGTCTAGTTAGTGTTCCCGTCCCTGGATGGCACAGTGATCTTGGTCAAGTCCTTTCCTTACTCGCCACTGTTAGTTAGAAACTCAGGCTCCAGTCTCTACTTCTTTTTTTTTTTTAAAGATGACCGGTAAGAGGATCTTAACCCTTGACTTGGTGTTGTCAGCACCACGCTCAGCCAGTGAGCAAACTAGCCATCCCTATATGGGATCCGAACCCCGGGCCTTGGTGTTATCAGCACCGCACTCTCCCGAGTGAGCCACGGGCCGGCCCCCAGTCTCTACTTCTAAGGACTGTGCATATACGCAAGAGCTTAGGTTTCTAGAAAGAATGCACAGTCCCAGTTGATATCATTCACAGGGGATATCAAATAGCACAGGTCTCCTGGAAATGCAGAGCCTTAATTTTTCTCTGAGGAATAGTAATATAAGAAATAATTACCATTTACAAATTCCTCTCCTTCCCTATTCTACCTTTTAATTTCATCTGCCTACATTGTGCAAATCCATGTTTCTATTGTGCATTTTATGTTAAAAAATAAACATATAAATCTAAGTGGTTGGGCCGGCCCAGTGGCTCACTCGGGAGAGTGCGGTGCTGATAACACCAAGGCCACGGGTTCGGATCCCATATAGGGATGGCCGGTTCGCTCACTGGCTGGGCGTGGTGCTGACAACACCAAGTCGAGGGTTAAGATCCCCTTACCGGTCATCTTTTAAAA